GATCCCAGGCGCATGATCAGTTCAGTGATTGGTTCAAGAGGGCGTGATCAGCTCGTGGGCATTCTTGATTGGTGAGGTCTTAGATAATCAAATTCCTCTTCAGGTGTCTGGAACTGTTCAGCCTGGAGTCTCTGAGCTCACAACCAGCAGTTTCCAGTCTACAAAACATCTTACATATTGAAATGAAAACCTTTTCCTTTAAGTGAGAGTTTTAGAGGCCATATGGCCCTCACTCATGGTCCATGTTGGTCATTATCATAACCAAAGTCTGAAGACTTAGTCCTTACTCTGGGCCATTCCAACGCAAATGGACTTTATATTTCAGGAGCCTAGAAAATACATTAGGGGGTTCTTGCGCTGTTTCAGGTCCAGGATTCTAACCACGCAGCTGGCCATGAGGAATCTAGTTGTCTTAATCATCATGCCACTGTCTGGCCCTGTTTATAATTTTCTATTCACTATTAAAATATATTCAAATTAAGCACTGTAAGAGCAGAGATAGGTTCCTAAAACATGTGAAGGAAAATGACCAGAAAAAGAAGAATCTAAAGAGATAGGTACCTGGGTTCAACTGAAAAGTCAGCCTGCAGCACCCAGAGAAGCATATTTGGGGCAAACCAATGGAAAGGAGCCTGAGCTTCTGGGACGTATTCCCAATGAATTCATATATAATAGGTATTAAAAATAAATAAACTTGGGGGCCAACAGGTGGTGTAGCGGTTAAGGTGCTGGACTCCCACATGGCTGAATGTGGTTTGAGTCCTGGACTCGGCAGCTTGAAAATCATGGCAAAAGCATGTGTATATAAGCCCCAAATTCCAAGAGGAGACTGGAGAAGGGACTGCAGTGTGGCTATCCCCCTTGGGAGTGCTTTCTCGCTTTCCCTCTCTCTGTCTCACTTTGTCTCTCCCCAGTGAGTGTGTGTGCCCTATGGCAGAAACCTTCAAAATAAATGAAGTACATAAATTCTGCACATATATATATATAATCCAAATGTATCATTTTTTTCTTTAATGGCTTCTGAATTCAGTATTATATTTGGAGTGATATTCATCATTTCAAACTTACAAAACTGAATATGTATTTTGTATTTTAAGGAGTGATATTCATCATTTCAAACTTACAAAAATGCTTATGTATTTTGTATTTTAGTGGTTTTATGGACTCATTTAGAGTCTCTTTAGTTTGACATTTATTTTTCCCAGTGACCCTTTAGCCATTGCCACCCTTCCTTTTTCACCTTTGCTAAGGACAGGTTAATAATAATCAGCTTTTCAATAGATGTTTCATAGTTTGTGTCTTCAAATGGAATAATGCACGTAAAACCTGATGGAATTGGTAAACTTCAATCTTTTAATTCTTAATCTGTAATCTAATCTTTTTGTCTGAACATGGTTTATCTAGAACAGAGTCCAGTTTCTCTACAAATCTCATTTACTTGTTCCATCGTGGCTGGCCTCGGGCTGTGTTCCTTTGATGCCACACTTATCTTCCGGGATCTACAGCTGCCCAGCCAGAGTCCTCTCACTCCATGGTGGCTCTCTGTCCTTGACAGATGACTCCAAGCACATGGTCCCTTGTTGCTGCTGCAGGCAGAGGAGTCCTTAATTGCATACATCTTGCCCCTGGACATGTGTCATTAAAGAATAAGAAAATTTGTCGAGTGAATTTCTGATAAATTAGAGATACTTCTTTTTTAAGATTTTTGTCATAGGGCGTATGTGCTCACCAGAGAGAGGGAAAGTGAGAAATGAATCCTGCCCCCTCAGAGGGAAGGTCATACCACAATCCCTTGTGGAGCATGTGCCAGGTGTGATTTTCAAGCTGCTGGATCCAGGACTCAAACCACAGTGTCAGCCATGTGAGAGTCCAACACTTTAACCACCAGGCCCTCTCCTGGCCCTGGTAAAATTTTTTTTTTTTTTTTTTTTTTTTTTAGGAGAAAAGTTCTTTTGGCAAAGAACAGGAATCAGAGAAAAACCTCCTATGGCTCTTTTAACTAGAGTGTGCTTGATATTTTTAAATTTCTTTCTCATGATCTACCTTCCCTCCTCTTTCCTCTGCTTTGGTTTTCAGGGAGGCTGTCTTTCATGGGCCATACCACAGTCTTCTTCCCCTTCTGGTCTCTGGTTGGATTTGGCCAATGGGAGATACCTTTGGAGATCTGCTAATGAGGCACGAATGGGTTCTGGGTGTTTATTTTCCTGACTTCCTTTTTGCTGGGTTGCCATTGATTGGTTTTGTTCTCCTGCTAAAGGTCATTGCTTCTGTGGAGCAGACCTCTGTTACCAGTGTGGCCTGTCTGAGTCAGCAGCCTTCGCTGAGCCTGTAGGCCGCGGCGCAGCAATGGCTCCTAGTTGTTCTTGATCCTGGGAAGCTGCATCAGCCTTTGTTGATTTCTCTGAACACTGCCTACGCCTTTGTAAATAGAGGCTTTATGAAACTCTCCTCAGTTGTGTCATCCGTTTCCCGCTAGCCCTGCCAGTGGACACACAATTTTCTCTGCGGGAATTGCTCAATGGGAAAGGATAAAACTTTCGTACTGAAAATCCTTGAAGTTGTTTAAGTATCAGAGACTAGTTTCTCTTAATCAAAGTAAAGGAAAAGGGCTCTCTCCAGTTAACCTGTCAGGGAGGCCCATGAACATCCATGCACAGGTAGGCAGCCCATGTGCCTATCTACTGTAAGCAGAACTGGCAGAATCAGTTTAAGGAGACAGTGTTTTATATTAAACATCAAATGGCTATGGTGTACTTATTTCAGGACCCACAACAACTAGGCAGAAGGACAGTTTCCTTGTAAACTGTAGTAATTGGATCTGACTGAATAAGAATCTTCTAGTTGTGAGACACAGAATACACATTCAGGGGGAACAATGACTGGTTAGAGTTAGGGAAAGCGTGCAGTGGTATTCGGAGCACAGCTTCTGGAGTCAGACTTTCTGGGTCCAAATCCTGTCTTTACTATTTACTAGTTACAAGGATTGGGGTATGTTATTTACTATCTCTGTGCCTCAGTATCCTCATCTTTTTTTGGGAGGCAGGGTGAGGCAAATAGTTTTTAATGTCTTGGTTTTTTGTTTGTTTGTTTTTTTGTTTTTGCAAACACACTGGAGAATCATGCGGTGCTGCCAGCATTAGATGCAGTCCTGGGCCACAAGTCTGCACACCCACCCCTTTGCCACTGGTCCCGTGATGGCAGAACCTTTCACTTCACCTTTATTGTTTTCTATGACCTCTGCAGTATCTTCAAAATAAAGAAACATGCCATCTTTTCTCTGGTGTAACTTTCGCTGTTGAGTTGCCACTGCTGGATGCACTTTCTTCCTGGGCTCTTGTTTGCCTTTTTTGACTGTAGACATCACCATGTCACCCATGCCAGGAGCAGGAAGTCTGTTCAACCGTCCCTTGATCCCCTTCATGGAGATGATAACAGAAAAGAGTATCCCCATCTTAAAATAAGAAAAACAATGGGGCCAATAGGTGACGTGGTGGTTAAAGATGCTGAACTCCCACATGATCAACCTGGTTCAAGTCCTAGACCTGGAGCTTGCTTTCTCACTTTCTCTCTCTTTCTCTCCCTCTCTGTCTTTCTCTAGTGAGTACACAAGTCTTATAGCAAATTAAAATAAAATAAATAAAATAAATAATCTTTTAAAAACTATTTTATTTAACTTTATTTTATTTATTTTTAATTTGACCAGAGAAAAACAGAGCGAAAGAGTAAGAGAGAGAGAGAGAGAGATTGATTAATTGAAAGCGAGAAAGCAAGCCACCAGGCCTGGGACTGGAACCACGGTCGACCATGTGGGAATCTAGCATGATGATTACATCATGCCACCTGCCAGCCCGTAAAATAAATAATTCTTTAAAAAAATAAGAAAAATAAGAGTACCTCACTCATAGTATTATTATAGAATAAATGACTTAATTCATGCAAGGCACTTAAAATAGGGCCTAGAGGTACGTGTTTAATAACTTTATTTGTTGATATTATCTTGAAAGTAAGCATGATGTTTCTGAGACAGGGACTTAATATTTTTATAACAGTGACTTTGTTATATTTCCCCTAGATTCTTTCCTCTTTTTGGATGATGAATTGAGAAGCAAATGGACAAGCCCGCATCTGTAGGAGAGGGACCCACAAAATACAATCTGGAGGTAATACGGGAAGAGCTGCATCCTCATCTTTTGAGAAGGGAAGAATACTTTGTTCTCTAGTGTAAACAAATTCCCCCGGGGAAAAGAAGAGAAAGGATCCTGGATTTTTACCCTTTAGAATGTGATTGAGAACCACCAGGGGTATAATGGTTATGTCACTGGACTCCCATGTAGTCACACGCAGTTCGAGTCCCACACCCAGCAGCTTAAAACTCACACCTGGCACACGTGCGTGTGTGCCCAAAATCCTGAGAAGAGATTGAAGGAGAAGGGATTCCAGCGTGGCCATCCCCTCAAAGGGGTGGAGGGGTAATGGGGGGTGGGGATCTCTCACTTTCTGTCTCTCTGTCTCTCTTTGTGTCTCCTGCGAGCGCTCACACCCTATAGCAACAATTTCTCTCAAAAGAGAAAGGAAAAAGAAGTCATTGTCTCTGGGGAAGTTAAGACAAGTGTCTCTAGGTTTAAAACTGGAATGTTTCTGTGGCTTTAGGATTCATCTTCTCCCAGAAGTGTAAACACATCCTCTGGGGAGGTAGATCTTTTACTCTCTATTCAATAATCTTTTTTTTTTTTTTTGGAGAAGTTTTTCTATAGGGCACATGCCTTTGACAGAAAGACAAAAGAAACAGAGAGATAGAAAGCGAGAAATCACCCCTCCCCACCCCTAGGGGGGAAGGCTATGGCACAATCCTTTCTCCTCCATTCTCCTCTCAGGATCTTGGGCATGCATGCACACATGCCTGGCATGAGTTTAAGCCACCGGGTCCAGGACTTGAACCACGGCCGACTACACGGGAGTTCAGTGACGTATTATTATAGAATAAATGACTTAATTCATGCAAGGCACTTAAAATAGGGCCTAGAGGTACGTGTTTAATAACTTTATTTGTTGATATTATCTTGAAAGTAAGCATGATGTTTCTGAGACAGGGACTTAATATTTTTATAACAGTGACTTTGTTATATTTCCCCTAGATTCTTTCCTCTTTTTGGATGATGAATTGAGAAGCAAATGGACAAGCCCGCATCTGTAGGAGAGGGACCCACAAAATACAATCTGGAGGTAATACGGGAAGAGCTGCATCCTCATCTTTTGAGAAGGGAAGAATACTTTGTTCTCTAGTGTAAACAAATTCCCCCGGGGAAAAGAAGAGAAAGGATCCTGGATTTTTACCCTTTAGAATGTGATTGAGAACCACCAGGGGTATAATGGTTATGTCACTGGACTCCCATGTAGTCACACGCAGTTCGAGTCCCACACCCAGCAGCTTAAAACTCACACCTGGCACACGTGCGTGTGTGCCCAAAATCCTGAGAAGAGATTGAAGGAGAAGGGATTCCAGCGTGGCCATCCCCTCAAAGGGGTGGAGGGGTAATGGGGGGTGGGGATCTCTCACTTTCTGTCTCTCTGTCTCTCTTTGTGTCTCCTGCGAGCGCTCACACCCTATAGCAACAATTTCTCTCAAAAGAGAAAGGAAAAAGAAGTCATTGTCTCTGGGGAAGTTAAGACAAGTGTCTCTAGGTTTAAAACTGGAATGTTTCTGTGGCTTTAGGATTCATCTTCTCCCAGAAGTGTAAACACATCCTCTGGGGAGGTAGATCTTTTACTCTCTATTCAATAATCTTTTTTTTTTTTTTTGGAGAAGTTTTTCTATAGGGCACATGCCTTTGACAGAAAGACAAAAGAAACAGAGAGATAGAAAGCGAGAAATCACCCCTCCCCACCCCTAGGGGGGAAGGCTATGGCACAATCCTTTCTCCTCCATTCTCCTCTCAGGATCTTGGGCATGCATGCACACATGCCTGGCATGAGTTTAAGCCACCGGGTCCAGGACTTGAACCACGGCCGACTACACGGGAGTTCAGTGACGTAGCCATTTCGCTAACTGCTGGTCCCTCTATTCAATATTCTTTTGACTTTCAAGGCTGTAGGAGACCTTAGTCTTAGTAAAAATTGCCCAGAAATTACTAACTGTGCAGAAATATTAAAAATGTATTTCCTAATACCTGACATATAGCAGGTTTATATAAATGTTAGCTAACGGACTTGTGAATGACCAGAAGCTATGGCAATTGCAGGCTAACTTTCCGATTAGCATTCCTGAAAGCTGTTTCTTAATGAAATTCATAACTTCTGAAAGCTTGCTACAGACTCTAAGGTAATTTGCAGTAATAACACACAGAAATATAAGATGTCACATGTATTAAGTAAAAGCTAATCACTTTATATAAGTGATTTAATTTGTACCTCATGGCCATATCATAAGAATGATACTTACTATCTACATTATACAGAATAGAAAATCAAGCTCAGGAGTGTTAAAAAACTTGCCCAAGTTTATTCATCCAGTAAGTGCTAAATCTAGGATTTCAGTTTATGTTTGTGTGATGTTAAAACCTCATTCTATTACTGATTCAGTTGGAAGCGAGTCCATTACTTCAAAGGGAAGCTCACAGGAGTCCCCCACCCTCTGCTGGTCAAGGCTGGCATCTGGGAATCAGGGCACTATGGACAATCTGCTTTCCTTCCTGCAGGGCCTGACCAACACTCTGCTCTTGGTTTTGTATCCTGAGCCCAACCAGATAGTTTGAGCTTAGCTCAAGAAAAAGATATTTGGAGTCAGAAAATTTAACTATATTTTCTAGTTCTACCACTTAATAATTGTCCAACCTGAGGCAAGGTGGTTATTGTCTCTGAACTTTTAATTATTTATCTGTAAAATGGGGATTAAAAATGCCTGTGTTGCTCTACTCACAGGGTTATTTGTGAGGATAAAATGAGATAATGTTTGTGAAACCCCACTGTGGACTTCAAAGCTTTCTAGATTAAGGTATTATTTATTCACTGGCAGACAGAGACTGAGTTAGTTGAAGACTATTAAAAAGTGGTCACTCAGGTTGTTTTTAAAACTATCCCTAATTGTGACCCATACCTAGTAAACAATGTTAGCTACCTATTTGATAGGTATTCCCACTGTTTTCTTTAACCTAATAATACATTTGTCTGGATAGCAAGTACCTAAACCCAGGCAATATGCCATAATTTGTTCAAGATAAGATGGCTCTCCTGCTCTTGTTTTGTTTTGTCACGGAAGGCTTTTTGCATTTCATTTGGAGTCTTGACAGGGAATAAACTTTCACTTAGTTGGTTAACTAAAAAGATTTTAATGATGAAGATATGGGAAGGGGTTTAAGGTATTGATAAAGCACCCAGAGACCAGCGACAGTGAGAGGCTATTACCACCCCAAGTCCTAAAAGGGCAAATGTCGTTACCAGAACCCAGAGAAAGCTGGGGCAGTAGGGAAATGGCCACTGCCAGAACTGTAGACGTGAGGCAGTGGGGAGGAACAGGTGAAAATTCCTTGCCCTCTCTCAACTCATCCTCTAATCTTTACTCGTATTGCTCATTTGCCAAACCTGACCAGAAGCTGGAAGGCGAAAGAACTCTGCCACGTGACTATCCCAGTCAATAAGATGCTGATAGAAGTTTGTCACAACGTATTATAAAAAGAGTGAGGTATAGATGAGAGTTTCCCTTGTATTCTGCCTTTTCTGCCTTCCATGAGTCAGGACACGATGGCCAGAGAGCAGCAGCCATGTGGCGATCACAAGACGGCAGGCATCAAGGAGAAGGACAATGCAGTAAGGATAATGGAACAGAATGACTGAGGTGCTTGTCATGCTGGGTAAAGTCTCTTTACAATCCAGGTGATGCATCGCGATTGAATGTATAAATAAAATTAACAGTAAGAATAATAAAAAAGAATGACAGGAGTCGAGGTCCCTGTGCCCTTGTGGAGTAGCTGAGTCGGCTCCAGCAATCACTGCCTTCAGAATTCTTGTTTCATGAGCTGTGGTCTTAATATTTTCAGTTGGTCTAATTTCTGTTCGATTGATGTAACATATTCCTTAAATAGAGAGTGTTCACAGCTGGTCTGGAGAGATACAATAAAATCAGTTTTATGAACAAATAGGTCAAATTAGTGAGAGTAAGGATTCTCTTGACCAAGGAAGTGAAAATGTCATCTGGGTTCATACAGTCCCCAAATTTAAAGGGAAGCCTTGCGTTCAAATATCATATCTTTGCTGCTTTTGTCACACTTTCCAAAGGGTAGGTTCTTAGTAACTATTCGTTAGAGTTCTTTTATCTGTTACTTGTTTCAGGAGTGAGAGAGATAGAGGAGAAATAAGAAGCAGAGATACATCTCCTCTGATAGAGTCTCGACTCCACAGTCCACCCCAGCTTCAGCCAACCAGGATCATGGACGTGTGTGTGTGGCCGGCATACTCAGAGAGGTCTCAGGTTGTGAACCAGCAACCTCCCCATGTGGGGCTGCTTCTCAGAGTGCTGCCTTTTACTGCTGTGCCACTGTCTGACCCTGTATTTGCTGATGTAAATCAACATCCAGAACTACTAGAGTTAAACATTGACCTTTGTGGAGGTCAAGAAGTTGCTATAATTTTCTTAATAAGAAAATTTCTCGGTTATAGCTTCTCAGACACAATTTCATCTAAGAACTGAAACATCAGAGACTGATTTCTCTGTGAGCCATGAATATTTGAAGACATTCTCTTGAATGGGAGTGAGTGAATGGGAGCAGCAATTTGTATCAATGTCTGGGTCCTGAGATTGCGTATCTCAAAGTCGTGTAGACCGTGCTGGAACACGTCCTGCTTATTTAAAAGAATTATGCCTCTATTCATTCATTTACCCAGCCCTGTCGACAAATACCTCATAGCCCAGCCGCAAAACTAAAAGCAGATTTACTTAATTAGGGGGAGGACACAAAGTGGAACAGAAGATGCATTTTATTGAGGAAGAAAGTGGGTGGGAGGATCTGCTTTATTGTACAAACATCTTATTTTTATATATGAGGTGTTATTAATAGTAGTGTTTGGTTACAACAACAACAACAAAACACCTAGGGCAACTGAAATGTTGCCTTCGGCATGAGGAAACTCACAAAAATAACTGTTTTGTGTTTTAATGACTGATTTACTTTCATTAAGAAAACAGCATAATCTAAGTGCTGCTATATTGCTTTGATTAATATTGAATAAAAATTATTATACTAATATTTATTGTGCTATTGTTTTGAGTATTGATATATATAGATATAACTATCTGTTAGTAGCTTTTTCAAAGTCAATACCTTGAAGAAAAATGGTTCTCCAGTGTTGGCTATGATTGTATTAGAGACTGATCGGGTTGAATTTCATCTACCTATTGTACCTTACAGTGATTTTGCATGTGAGCAGAGTTTTGAGGGAGTCAAAGTATTTTAAAGAATTTTTTTAAATTTAACTTTATTTGTTTATTTATTTTAATTTGACCAGAGAGGGAGAGAGTGAGATAGAGAGAGAGAAAGTGAGAAAGCAAGCTGCCAGGTCTGGAACTTGAACCACAGTCGGCCATGTGGGAGTCCAGAGCCCTTAACCACCATGGCACTTGCTGGTCTCAGAGTCAAAGTATTTTTAACATTTGGATCATTTGATTATGATAATAGTTCTGTGTAATCTGGTCACAAGAAGACAGTGTCCCTTTTCATAATCTCATTTTAACCACACTACCCACAAGGAGAAAAACACATTTATAATAATTAAGTAACTAAAAAAACCTTCTTAATTGCTAAGACAAGGATTAGAGAGTATAAAATTGAAGAGGATTGATTTGACTGGCAAACTACTATGAACTGTTTTCATGCTCTGTGTGTTTGGTTTCCAAACATTTCAAATTAGTAAGTGAAAAATGGAATCGGTGCTGAAACATTTTAAATTGTGAAAGCAGATCAGGAATAGCCTGTCCTTCCCAACCCCATAATCTGCCTCTGCTTATATTTTTAGTTTCTCAGCACCTGGGGTGAAGAAAAGTACAAGTTTGAAGCAGAACAATGGTCATGGTACTTATTATCTGGAGGAAGATGGGAAGAGGGGGTGAGAGAAGTAACTGGAAAAAAGAAAAGCTTTGTAAATTCCAAATGGTGTCAGCCATTAGGTACTTCTGCAATAACTGGGAATCCCCATCTGAATCCAAAAGGACCGTTAGCTCAGTGTCCCAAATT